CCCCCGCGCCGCTGCAGTCTTGGGCCCGCTTCGCCGGAGAGCGTGATGATAATAATAATAATAATAAAAACACTAGCATTTCGGGCCCGCTTTCTGTTCCGGCAGCCACCCGGCTTGCCCAGGCCTGTGTCCGGGCCTGCTTGTGCCAGCCCAGCACCGCCCTGATCCCACCTTGCACCGCCCAGATCCCACCTCGCACTGCCCAGATCCCACCTGACCACCCAGATCCCACCTCGCACTGCCCAGATCCCACCTGACCACCCAGATCCCACCTGACACTGCCCAGATCCCACCTCACACCACCCAGATCCCACCTGACACTGCTCAGGTCCTGCCTCACACCGTCCTGATCCCACCTCACACCACCCAGATCCCACATTGGACCACCCAGATCCCACCTGACACTGCTCAGGTCCTGCCTTGCACTGTCCTGATCCCACCTCATGCCATCCTGATCCCACCTCGCACGTTCTGGACCAGGCATCGTGCTGCCCAGATCCCATCTCCTGTACCCAGATCCCACCTGGCGCCGTCCTGCATTGAGCACTGGATCTAGCACGGGGCTCCCCCTGGGTCTGGAAATCTGGCAGCAGGGGAGCAGCAACGAACACTGCCCCCACTGCCACGGGGAGTCTTGAGCGGTGACGTGGCATCCAGCTTGCGGGCCGAGGGGGTCAGACTAACTCTGGGGTAAGACATAGCCCCTTTCTATGCCTCTACAGGGTCAAGCCTCATCCTGCTTGCAACCGCAAGGCACTACCGTAATACAACCAAAACTATCCGCAGCCAGCGCACTCCACGTGGGGTTTCAGCAACGCCTTTCGACTGTCAGCGGCCTGAAGATGTAGCTGAGACTTGGAAGAGTCAGTAAATAAGAGCTAAGACAAGGTTGCACGGCTATAGAGGGAAACTAAAAGGAGACGAGGCATGGTTGAATTCTCTGAACACAGGGTGGGAACCAGGAGCTGCCCAATTCCTAATCACAGCTGTGTTAGCCGCTACTTGTAACCTCAGGTAATGGAGAGTGTCTAGCCCAAGTGGCATGAGGAACCAACAGACTGACCTCAGACGAGTCACTAAACTTCTTTGCCCCACTTGCTCCATCTGCCTATGATATGATAGTTTGGAGGATTAATACTTGATATGACTCTGAAAGTGTAAATATTCTTAAACACTGGTGCATAGTCCCTGCAATGGGGACATTAAAAGTATCTGTGAAAGTTATAGAAAGAGCTAGTATTTAAAATTAAAATGGTATAATAACAAAACCACCACGACAATAACAACAAACAGAACCATTTTCTCGCGGCTCCTTGTAGGGCCTTTTTAATTCCGGGTGCTGAATTCACAGGTGCGATTCCTGTTGTTGCGGCTGCTGTCTCACATTAGCCCAGCAGTTTTACGGTGTACTGCTTTCTTTTGCTCTCAAGAGCTAAGGGGTCGCTCAAAGTTAACGGTAGATGCATCTAAAACAAAACAAAATATTTCTTCACAAGGTTTTGAATCAGTGAGTTGAATGTACCAATGCAGGAGGTCAGGGTATTATATACTCTAGCCAGGTTTAATAAGGGCCCCAATAGTTTTGTGAGCAGAAAAAAGCATTTACAGTTACAAAGACAAAAAGCTATTGAAGCCAATACTCCAAGGTGTTAAATGACAGCCCTAGGGTCAGAAGGCTCCCTCTGTCATGAAGAGCATTGCACAATTGCCAGGTGTAATAAAGGATGTTCTACTTTCTTCTGAAATCATGGTGGTAGGGCATGGGTCTTGGCAGACTATTTATCTGATTCAGTATTGGAAATATGACAGCTGTGTATAGTGCCATGCAGAGGACCTTATGCACTAGTTAAACCTTTTATTAAGGTTTCAACTTGAGAAACAGTGGTACAGAAGGGCTGATACAGGTCTACCGACACATGTCATCCATAACCCATAATTAGCTAGGAAGGTCCTGGTAGTGGTCCATACTCCACTGTTGTATTTTAAGAAAATTGCAAAGAAAATTACAACACCAATTTGCTTAGTACCTTCCCTGACCCTATTGTTTCCTATTCACAGAACCACTGGAGTGCAAATATTCTGATTTCTAACACATGCAGCATCTTACTTTCCTTGTTAGGTCAGCATGATGGAAAAAAATATCCCCTGAATTGCAGACTTCAGAGTGCTCTTAGGCACCACTGAGGAAGTATGTACATGTATAGTAAAGAAAATGAGCACATGAGCATTGATGAAAATGCATGATGTACTAATAAAAAATTTAAGTGTGTGCTTAAAACAAATGCTATGCAATAGAAGGAATAATCTTCTAAAGCTTCTTAATGAAAAATGCAGATCCCGATGATAAGGTAATGTATTTATACGTGTCTTCAGAAAAATTCTCATAATTAAACTCAAGTTCATACTAATCTTTGGGCAAGCATGCATTAGTAGCACTCTATATTATTAAATTTCAGTTTTCCATTTTGAAATGTTTTACAAACAAAGGGGCCAGCCCTACAAATCCTTAGAGATACGGGAATTATACAGAAGTTAAGGGGCTCACAACTAGATCAAGTATGGCGATCACTTCAGACACGTACTGAAATAGAGGCACCTCTGCTGTTAAACTTGACAGCTGTTGGACTATGCCCAATCACCGAGCACTGAGGTACTCACTGAGCACTCGGATATTCAGTTTAAGATTTTTGGTTTGGACTGACTCTATAATGACTTGGAAGGCTAATCCTGATGAGGTTTGTTAACAAGGTTGGCTCATTCCACATTGCAAGGGAGCCTAAACGAGTTATTCATCCACATGCTACTGGAATTGATTAGGAAATGGATGCCTGACTCTCTTTGCAGCCTTTGAGATGCCCATCCTAAATACAGATATGCATCAGCAAAAAGAGTGTTGCAATTTTCACTAAAAAAGGGAGGGAAGGTTATACCTAAATGGAACTTTTTGCTTACATTTTAAGCACAGTAAGATGACAAATCAGCGTTTTGCTATGGAAAGAACAGAGTATCTGGATGTGCAAAGCATTTGGCTAATGGTGGGGCAAATCTGCTCCCAAATGGGTGCATGTGTAGACACCTGCCCAGGCTGGGTTTACTCCAGAGTACCTTGCTCTGGAGTAAACCCATCCAGCAGCATTTGCACATGTAGATGTGCCCTTTGTCAGACAGTAGTAAGCTTCAACCTGTTCTTACCTGTTGCATCCAAGCACGTGTGCGACAAGGATCCTTGTTTAAAATCTTCACTTTCATCTAGAGCTACCTTTTCTTTTACTCTCTTACGGAAACTTTCTGCTGTTAATAGCAGATATCTTTAAGTCAGTTTGTATAGTGATAGAAAGCAATTGTTGTTTCCTTTTTAATTTATTTGTTGCTCTATTAATTATAACTTGGTTCCTAACAGCACGTGTTACCTTTTAGGCATTTCAGGCGGCAGTTTGTATGAAGGACCAAGTTATGATGGTACTATATCTCTGCATGCCAATTTTTTAATAGACCCCTGTATCATGGTACATAATTAGGCCACTGCAGAAGTAAAACTATTTGATAGCTTAAGCAAGGAGCAGTTTGGGGGTTAGATAAACAGTTCCCTTTTTGTGTTTTCTGCATCGTTATCTAACTTATCATGCCATCATTTGCAAAGTACCTATCACTTACGCACTGGGCAGTTATAAAAGAAAGAGGGAACTGCCTGAAGGGCAGGTTTAACAAACAGAACAAAGACTCTCAAAGGAACTTTTAGGATCCAGCAGGGAACCTTGAAGAACATTTTCTGGAGGACTGCAAGGACATCACTTCTGCAGATCACTTTGTCTCCATTGCACTGGGAAATGAGACTCTGGAATCAGTTTCTGATCAGTCAGCTACTAGACAGTGGAACATACTGCAGCTGTGATAATAAGTAAGAAAAACCAGACCTTTTAGAGGATATTTTCTTGAAACTTTGGTTTTTTGGTATCTTTAAAATGACATATATTTATCTCTTCTACTGTACTTGTTTTATACTACACAATATCAATTCTGAAACATCTCCTATAGCTAAAATAGCACAATAATAGCACTGAACTTGGTTTAATCTTCTGATTACATCTGCCCAAACAGTATCTGAAGATGGCCTTTAAGTACAGTGGCATTTTCTTACCCCTGAGATGCTCAGGCCTGTGCCTGTTATGAATTGTGTGTGTTCTTAATGCTTTTTTAGTTATATGTTTCAGTAATTTTACTGCATTTAGCAGCAGCATCCTCTATACCTTTTATATAGAGCTTTTTTTTTTATTAATTTTATTAAACAGCAACTAGAATCTGTGCCTTATAAAAAGGATGTTAAAGCAATGTCAAATGTTGCATTTATTTCAGCACGTTGGGTCTTTCACTCCTGAAAAAGCAGGTGTCGGGCATGTGTATAGGTACCCTAAAACAGCATTTGCCAACCTATGGGTTGTGACCCAAAAGTGGGTTGTGGAGAAAGGGTTGTGGAGAAACTTTGAAAATGGATCAGCAAACTTTAAAAATGGATTCTCCTTTAAAGGAGAAAAATGTGGGAAACCGTGGCTTTTCCCTTTCAGGCCGGCAGAGCTCCAGTCTGCAAGGGGCTGCTTGCAACCCCCACTCCACCCCACACATGGGGGGGCTGGGGCCTCGGGGCAGCGGGTCAGGAGTGAGAGGCACTGGGTCAGGACTGGCCATCAATGTTTACAAATTGGTCCTGATACAAAAAAAGGTTGAGAACCACTGCCCTAAAAGACTAGGGTGGTTTTTTTTGAGGAAAACTGCTTTTTTTAAAAACAAAAAAATTTATATAAACATTTTTGAAAGCAGGCCGTTTTCTTACCAATAATACAATAGTCTTTTCTTTTGAAAAATCCCAGTTGGCTCTAGTTTTAGCAGTAACAGGGACATTGTGCAAAATATAACTACTGTGAATAAAGCGTGGGTAGAGGTCAGCATCATTTGGAGGTTGGCTGCTGTCTGGAATTGATATCCATCAGTCCCAGCTGGATTTCCATTGTAAACCCATTATGAATTGATGGCTATCAAGTAATAGGAGATGCTTTAATGCAATACAGCACCCTCCTCTTGTGACAGAGGGGGTCTGTGTGATGTTCAAAGGAAACAGCAAGCTGTGGAATCTGCTCTTCAGCAGCCATTATGCCAGGGACACGAAGTGATCTTGGAGGCATTATGGATAAACCCTCCATGGAATGGCGGTGGCCTGGCCAATCCTGATTCCAGCTTCATGAGAGGAGATGGATGCAAAAACCTGACCCCCCTAGGACTGAGGAGTTAGAAATTCCCTGGGACAAACCAGTCTTATTCACTTTCCTGGTCAATAGAACACTAGGCACACATCCACACCCTGTAAATTGTAGAAGACTTCATATGTTCATGAGCTCAGATTTCCTGTGGTTGAAGAATGTGTTTTGTAGAGCAGTTGAAGGTGGTTCATGGAGAATGGATGGGTTCAAGGTGTGCTCTACCCATTTCTAGCAGCAAAGTCATATCCCTTCCTGCTCATGTCCTTGTGGCAAAGCATTTAGCAGAACTTACAGATTCGCTGCAATCCGATGGGAGCACTTCTGCTGTGGCCTTAAACTTGCGATTTCTGGGCTGCCAACTGTGCACCTTAGCATCTGCACCCGTGCCACCCCTGCTCCCAGCAAAGTCATGTTAAAGAAGCTAAAATACAGCAAATACTTTCATGATATTCGCCCTGTGTGAGCAATTACTATAGTTGTAGGAAAGTGATGCAACGGGGAATTAGAGGAAGAAAAAACGTATGTCTTAAGATGTTGTCCAACATACATACAGCATAGCATCAACAAAACCTTTAGCATTGCCATTCTAATATTTGGAAAGTTGTAGACCACAAATCATGCCCCCCATCCTCCGTGTTGTATCCAGTGGGGGTCCAGGATTCCCTTACCTCCTTTATCAAAATCTCCCCTTCCAGCAATTCTATCTGCTTCATCAAACACCCACAAAGTATTAACCATGGGGAGTTTTGTGGTATATGAAGAAGGGACAGAGAACACCATGAAGCTGATGGCATGGGATCTATTTGGTACATGATGTACTTGGATAATGGCAAAGGGTGTACCTCCATGGGAAGAGGACAAGGAAAGTGGCATGTTCTTGTTTTTATGTATTATACAACAACATTTCTATATGTGTCTGGGTGAATATTACTTCTTAGTTGTAGATTACATTTTATATATAACAGTCAAAATGGCAAGTTATGTGCTGATATCTGATGATTATAATTTATTATTTAAAGGATATGATCATAATGGTGAACATTATTCTGGTACCCCTTTGGACAGCAATGGCAATTCAGCCAAATTTGTTGCAGGCTAAAGGAAGTAAGTAGTTTCCTGTACTATTCTTCTCATGTATTTGTAATACCATGGCACCTGGGACTTCACTGTGGCACTCACTGCACAGCGCAGGTGGCCACTGCCCCACAGAGCTTACAATCAGACCTTAAAGGTGAGACGTATAGACAGATGCAGTGGAGCAGAAGAAAACCATGAGCCAGTGTGAGCCAGAATGACAGGCTGTAGTCATAACACACAGCCACCTCGAATTTGTCATGTGTTTTGTAAGGGATTTGGAGGAGGATAATAGGGGTTTTTGTGGATATATATGGGGGAGCTCCTCCCAAGGGCAGCATAGGAGATGCTGCTTGAAAATACGATGTGGGCTATACAGGCTGGTATCCTGGAACCATTGGAGATGGGAAATGACCTCTTGCTGCTCAAAGAGAAATGATACATAGGGTGAGAAGAGGCTGTGAAGGGCTTGATAAGTAAAGGGAAGCTGCTTGACTATTTTGTTATTTAGCTATTTATATTCTTATATTGTTTTCTTTCAGCACAATCAATTATTCATTTCTTTATGAGCTCCAGGGGTCTCTATCCCTGTCATTCTAAGTTACCAGTCTCATTCTTCTGTCTCTACTTATATTTCTGCTTTATTTCTTCTCTCAGCGTACTTGTGTTTCTTCCACAGATGCATCCTTGTGGCTTCCAGGTAGAACTTGCCAGGGTAGTTAACATGCATTCTTCTCAGAGACCAAACTACATACCATCTTCTCTGTAAGACTCTGACTGTACACCGGGATCTAAGTGGATATGGACTTATGCCAGTGTAGATGCCCAATTGACCTCAATGGGGCCGTGTGAGGGCAATGGGATTCATGTATGCGGATCATTTTTCAAGGATCTTAGCCTAATTTATTTTCCAACAAACCAGATATGATCAGAGACTCTTTCATTTGATGATCTTTAAGTTGAAATTGCCATGGAAAACAGTTTCTTCTAACCTAGGTTTTAGCCATATCCTTATTGAATGATCTATTTGCTGGCAACTTGCAGAGTTTTACCTCAGTGTTAGAAATATGCTTTATAGAAAGCTATTGGCAAAATATAGTGTAATATGTAAATTATGCCTATACACACTACCCTGTGTTGGTAGTTACCTATGAATAGCTATTGCTTGGAACCAATCACTTTTCCCTCTTACTTGTTATAATGTAGTATATCATTAGGGTTTTTTTTCTCCTTTAATCAACAGTTCAGGTTCTTCCCCCTGTTAACTTCACCCTCACAGTCACTGCACTAGCAGAAGTACTTTTACATTGGAAACCAAACCCTGATCAACAACAGAACTACACTGTTATCTATGATGTGGAAATCATTTCTCCTGTACAGGAAATGGTAAGTGTAAAATACACTGAGCAGTCTACAGAGGCCAAATGCAAGTTGATTTAAATATGTTCTGCCTGCTTGAGACTGTACTGCATACATTGGGTCATCAACATTACTTTGGTGTTGCATCATGAACAGATATGCTATACATAAGCCATGCCCATCTTCCCCTGTGCTGACCAGTAGAACTTAGTTGGAAAGGGAATTAACACTAGGGAAGGGTGGCTTTAATTTGTGACCTAGCTGGAACATCATGGGAAGAGGTGTTGAATCAACATGGCTTCCCACGAATGTTTCCTATCGAAGTCAATGAATTTACTGCAGATTAACACCAATGTACAAGTAGTAGCTGGTTCTCTGTTTTGTCATAATAGTATCCTCAGGAAACTTTACTCGAACCATCCCCAGTAGAAAGTTCTGGAGTATTTGCATATGGTTTTAGGTACAATGTTCCTAATTTTATATAAACACCCTCTATTAAGAGAGCAGTTTTAGGGTAACTGCACATGTGTTACAAGTCTGCTCTGATGTGCTGTAATTAATCAAGTCTGCTGGACCGTGGTAATTACTAGGCCTGTGCGAATTGGCAGCTATTTGATCCGGCTTCGGATCCGGCCGCTTTGGATGCCAGGGGTCCGATTCGGAGCTCCAGACCGGGTTTCTGCTTTGATCCGGCTGAAGCGGCTCCGAAGCTTCGGCGTTGCCTCGGAGATCCGGCCATAGGGTATAATGGGGAATCAATTAAACATCTATAATTTTGTTGTTTTTGTCTGATTTGGATGAAATATGCAGGGATGGTAGCCTCTGCTGAGAGCATGAAGCCTGCCAAGTTTCAAGAAGATCGGGGTAGGCATTTGGAGGAAACTGTACCCCAAATTCCTGAAAGCAAAACTCATGTCACGTGTATGTGTTACACCACAGGGGGGGTGAAAACTGCAAGGGCGGTGGCCCCTGGCCCCTGGCCCCTGCTCAGGCCACAAAGCCTGCCAAGTTTCAAGGAGATAAGTGCAGGTTTGGGGGAAACTGCACCTCAAGCTGCGGACAAGCAAAACTCGTGACATGGGTGACACTGCGTGTATTAAGGCGCAGCATGGTGAAAGCTGCAGGGATGATGGCCCCTGCTGCGGCCACAAAGCCTGCCAGCTGTTGAGGAGATCGGTGCAGGGGGGTTCTGGGGCCCTGCACCCCTAGCTGCTGACAGGCAAAACTCATGACATGGGTGCTTGTGCAACTGACTGTCTCCGTCTTGGGGCAGTTGATTGCCTGTATTGATTCTTTCCTCTCCTTAGTCTGTGTTTTTGTTGTTAATTGTTGCTAATTAAATGGCTAAATTAGCTAGCTACTGTGTACTGAGCTGGTCCCTGAGTGAATCATGATTGATTGGTAACTGGTAACACAGTAGCTTAGCAGCCAGGCCTGTAATTGTTCCCCCTGCCCCCCAAGACAGACACAGTTGCACAAGCACCCATGTCACTAGTTTTGCCAGTCAGCAGCTAGGGGTGCATGGCCCCAGCACCCCCCTGCTCCTATCTCCTTGACAGCTGGCAGGTGTTGTGGCTGCTGCAGGGGCCACCATCCCTGCAGCGCCTTAACACACACAGTGTCACTCATGTCACGAGTTTTACTTGTCTGCAGCTTGAGGTGCAGTTCCCCCGCAAACCCCTGCACTTATCTCCTTGACAGCTGGCAGGCTTCGTGGCCTGAGCAGGGGCCATCACCCCTGCAGTTTTCAGCCCACTGCGCCTTAACACACACAGGGGCATCTATGTCATGAGTTTTGCCTGTCAGCAGCTTGAGGTGCAGTTCCCCACAAACCCCTGCACCAATCTTCTTTAAACTTGGCAGGCTTTGTGGCCTGAGCAGGGGCCACCACCTTTGCAGTCTTCACCCCCTTGTAGTGTAACACATACATGTTTTGCTTTCAAGAATTTGGGGTACAGTTTCCCCCAAACCCCTGCACCGATCTTCTTGAAACTTGGCAGGCTTCATGCTCTCAGCAGAGGTTACCACCCCTGCACGTTTCATCCAAATCAGACAAAAAACAACAAAATTATAGATATTTAATTGATTCCCCATTATACCCTATGGCCAGATCTCTGACGTGGCTCAGCAGCTTTTCTGAAGAGCTTCAGATGCTTCGAACCGCTTCAGAAAGCCTAACGAAGCCAGTGCTTCGATGCTGACATGCTGCTTTAGACACTGAAGTGTCCGAAGCTTCTCTGGATCCGAAGCAGGGTCTGAAGCCTCGCACAGCTCTGGTAATTACCAGGGATCCTGGGTTTCTCGGTGAATGGGGCCCCAGCTGGGCCAGGTCATTCGACAATCCCTAGAGTGCAGCAGGGAGTGGGGCAGGAGTGGGATGATTCTCCCCTGCCCCTACCCTGCTCCCTCCTGCACTGTTGGGGTCTTGATCCCCACAAGAAAAAACCTTACCTACTTGCCTGCTGTGCTGGGCCAGCTGTGAGCCCAGCATGCCCCTCCCCACTGCTGCAGCAGCCTGCGGCTGGGTTGTCGAGTGGAAAACCTGTAAATACTGCTGGTGCTTCTCTCATGGGGGGCACAGCCAATTTCAAGGGGTGCACATGTACCCACATCACCAATGCCATGCACTGCTTGGACTGGGCAGCATCCCCAGCCCCAACCCTGCCCAACTTCCTCACTATGGGAGCCTCCCTCCCTGCCTGACTTACCTGCCGGGAGCTGCTCTCCAGGCTGCCTCGCAGTGACATGCATGTAGGTGCACACATGCACATGGCACCCCCTGCCTGACCGCACTTCTTCTGCTCCCCCCAGCCCCTTGCAGGCTGGAACTGTGCCAGGGGAAATCCACCGTTTCCTTCAAAGGAGAAAATCTGGGTTTTTCTCCTTAAAATTAGAAAATCCGGGTGTGACCATGTTTTTCTGTGGCAAACAGAAAACCTAGATCCCTGGTCATTTCTGCACTCCAGCCAGCCTCCGTGTCTCATGTATTAGCATCCCAGTGCTTCAAAATGGCAGTGGGGGCACTTGAACTAAGGCGGTGGGGGCACTCTGCACTGAGGAAAATGTGTCCCTCACAAAGTCAGGCATAACTATATGTTGTAAATTCATCCAGTGTATGGGTCATGTGTCCATAGTCCTAGGTGTAGGTAGTTGCCCAGTACAAACAGTGGTGACTGGCGAGGCACTATAACAGAATCTATGGGCAGTTCACTCTAGAGACCTGAGTGCAAATAATAATTCACCTTGATATACAGACTGATCCAAGTTACACCAGTATACACGTGTCATGTGTCTGCATCCTAAGTCAGGCTTCACTGCGTCTGATACTCATAAATTATTTTATTTTTCAAGTACGATACAAAGCACACCCATAGTACTCGTACAGTGGTGCTCCATGATGGTTTTTCTGCACAAATTCGGACACTGCTTTTCTATAACAGCTCAAAAATAGGAAGTGAGTGGGTCACAGAAGAACTCCCAGCCCTCGCAGGTAAGAAGTGATGCCACAAAGTTTTAATTTTGTGTTATTTTTCTAGATTGTAGGTGAGGGAAGCATGAAAAGGACAGCAGGTTAGAAACTTTAAAAAGGTGACATATTTCCTGCCATGCAAAGCAATATGGTTATCCAGTAGTTTTGGCAGAGATTCTGATGTTCATATTGACATTGAATAGTAAGTACTTCACTATCTGTGTTTGACTCTATGGCCCATGGCAAACTTGCAAGTAATGGCACGATGGGATCTGATGTGTGATACTTGCAACCGTACTTCCTGCCATGCCATGTGCATCATGATCCCAGATGTCCTCTGCACCAGCAAGTAGCAAGCTCCCACATCAGCTGATCCAGGCTCTCAGTCACACCAGGCTCCAAGCAGTGGGAGTGCATGGTGCCAGCCGTGGGAGCACCTGAACACATGTTCAAATTGGTACTGCTAGATGACAAGGCAATGGTTTTCATGAAATACATTTATGATGCTGGTTTGAGTTCTTAGGAGAACATTCCTCATCACAGATTGAACTAATCGTCCATCTGTGCAGAAATGATTGACTATGCAAGAGCTTTGTCTCTCATCCTTAGGAACACAGGGCTGGCAGGACCCGTCTGATTTACTATATGCAGTCTCCCGCTATTGCAGGCAAGGCAACTATCTTATATAAACCTCTTCATAAATTTATCAGGGAGTGTTTACTTCCTGATTTGACAGGCTCTCCATCATCCTAGTAGCCCTTCTTTGTATCCATTCCAGCTTGAACCAATCTTTCTTCAATAAAAGTGATCAGAACTGGAGCCTAGACATCAGAGTTGACGCATCTTAAATGGCAGAGATGTACATAGGAAGTTGCATCGTTCCTGGACTAATCTAGTCTGAAATGTTTGCACCAGTCTTAACGGCACACTTTCTAATTGTTCCCCTTTGGTGCAGCAGACAGTCTGGTTCTATACTAAGAGATCACTCGTGAGAAATTGTCCTTGTTGATGTCCTACATTACTTTTAGTGTTGGCCTGGTAGTCCAGGAATACCATGGTCAAGCTCTTCCATAACTAAAAGAAGATAAGAGACCACAGAGAGCTGTAGTTAACCCTCTCATGCCTTCTAGCCCCATTACTATGCAATATCTGAGTTCACTCTCATTGCTACTCTTGTCATTTCCCATGTTAGCCAGGTTCACTCTCCCTTGCCTAGGAGCTGGGGATATATTCTGGGGCTGTTCGAGATGGATAATCCTTGCAATACAGTTCCTGAAAGACAGCAGTTGACTACATCTAATCCCCTTTTATTTAATAATTCAGTTCACTACTACTCTCAAGATGCCATCAAGAGTAAAAAGCAGCACAGTGTTTCTTCTAGCCTGAATTTTGTCATGGAAACAGATTTATCCAATTTTACATGAAATGAAAGCAAGTTTAAGATGTGTTTGGTTTTGGAAATGTCTCTCTAGGCTCTGGATTCTAGAGTGAGATGTGTTGATCTATTATGTAAATAGCAGATAACATGCAAGCAGCCATAGTAAAAAAGCCTTATACTATTCCAAGGCCAAGAAAATCAATAGGAGTTTCTACATATATCAAACTGTGAACAAATGTAAATGCTTTTCCCTGGATTTATGCCAAAAAATGTATTGCTAATGGCAAAATAAGCTGCTTTAGAACTCTCTAAAATGTTTAAAAATATTTTGTCTGTAAACGTATGACATTTTCAGAATACACGGGGGATGTTGTGTTATTTGTCCATATGTGTTGTAAAACTGTTAATTGTGTAACTGTTTGGGAATTTGACTTCATCTGTAATCATTTGATATACAGGCAAATGAGATAGAACACACATTTGTGTGTGTGTGTGTGTGTGTGTATCTATGTCTATAGCTATATATATATCTATATATATAATCTCCTATGGTAGTGTAAAAGTGATGTTGTAGTAATGTCCAGAAAAGTAATGGTCCAGAAATTATGTGAGAGGCAAGTATTTCATAGGGTGTTATCTTTTATTGGACCAACTATGTAGTTAGGAAAAACTTAGACAAGCTGAGGAAGAATGTCTTGCATTTGAAGGCTTGTCTGACTTTAACCCAACTAGAGAGTTGATCCAATAAAGGATATCATCCTACGAAATACTTGCCTCTTGTACGTATATATCCTCTCTCATCTACCTGTATGTCAAATGATTACAGATGAAATCAAGATACGAAACAGCTACAGATTTAGGAATTCATGATTATAAAAATGTATACAAATGCAAATGTGTGTGTGAGTGTATATATTTTATAATAAAAAAAAACTCCCATGTGAGTAAAAAAATGTTAGTAAATATTCAGCACATCTTATCTTTTGAGTGTAATCTTTTATGTCTTGTTCTTCCTCTAGGTGATGCTGAGACATCAGTCACTAACTTATTCTGCATTGTTTACACTGCCAGTTATAATACACCATCTCTTCACTGCAACTGGTTTGCTGGTAAACAGGCACCAACAGATACAGTATACTTACTATTTTACAGGTAAATGCCTGCCTCTATTTTGGCCAGTAGGTATTATCCAAGAGGACAATGCCTGATGAACCTTTTCCTTTAGGTATAATAACTACACCGAGCAGTGTCCAGACTATTTGCAAGACAAATGGCAGAGAAATGTAGGTTGCAGATTTTCAAAGACTTACATTGACCCTAAACAGATTGGCACACTCATTATAATACATGTTAATGGGTCAAGCAAGCATGCTGCAATCAAACCTCTTGAACAACTATTTAATCAAGATACCATTGGTAAGTAATTTTTTTTTCTAAATTAAAAAATAGCAGTATCATATATTTGCCTTGGCTTGCAATCAAAAGTAACCCATCTGCCCCTAACTCCAAATACCAAGCAGCTTGTCAAAACTTCATCAGTGGTTTTAAATGCTGATTAGCCCGGTTTAAGATATAGGTTGGTCTATAGGTGGCAATGAAAATGTATTGAAATGGAAGGTTTTGACATGGAACTAGGTGAAAGTTGATGGTACTAACTGAATTGATGTAAACAATACACTATAGCTTAAATTGTAGGATGATAGAAAAAAGATAAAGATATATAAGATATAGAAAAGATCTAATCTGTTTGCCAAAGTATTGTTTCCCATGGTACATTTTCTGTTGCTTTATTGGATTTAGCATTAAATGCCCAAAGCAACACAGCTTCTTCCCCTTTTTAATTTATATTCCATTAAATTTATATGGAAGGGAGATTTTCACTTGATATTCAGGTTAATATTCTTTTTCTTAATTTCATGTCCTTACACCAATTTATACCACTCTATTCCTCCTAAATAATTCCTCTCCATTTTACTTAAAAGTTATTCCTGTTACTCACTTTCAGTGCTGTTTTCCTGAACTATTTCTATGTTGCTAGTAATTTTACAGGCTTTCTTGAATCAAGTCAAGGGTCCACCCATGCCTATTGCCTAGTGACCCATTGGACTACTATGGGTGTGATGTGGCTAGCGTTACATCTAGCCACCTCTGACTCCCCAGCCCAAATGACCAGATACTAGTTTTCAGGTGGAGGAAAGCCTTTGGCATGACTCCAGAACAGAGCTTGAACTCATGCCTTTAGAGCTGTCGTGATATATTTTAACCAATCTGCACTGCATGTCAAGTACCTGGAATAAATTTCAAGCATTATATTCTAGGGACAATATTACCAAAAAGATATTGATATTGAAAAACTGAGAGCTCTCAAAACAGAGAGAACCAGCACAAAAGAAGCAAGACGATCTTTGCATCCTACCCTGCCACCAAGAATGATCGAGTTATGCCCAACTCGTGGTGTTATTATTTTAAATGCATAATTGCTTTATAAGTAACATACTGGTCCCTACTTCATTTTTTAGAGAAAATAAATCCTCCTCGAAATGTCACCATATCTTTAGAACAAAATGACACCTTGGTCACATGGGAAAAGCCAATTTCTCCTTTGTCAAAGGCATGGTTTTGTTATGAAGTTATCATTCACAATTTGAAGACAGGTACAAATCAGGTAAAGGCTTATTGAGATTTGACATGTATATAGCAATTGTTGATTAATTACTTTTCCTATCCAGATGGAACATCTCTCTCATATAAATCTGAAAAAAATATCTTTAGATTCATGTACATCTTTTGAGTTATGCTGATAATTAGAAGTTACCAAAAGCTACAGACATATGGTAAATCCTAGTTGTATGGAAGACAGATGGTTAGAGGTGCACCGATATATCGGTCCATATTGGATTGGTACCAATAAAAGGAAAATTGACATTATTGGCAATTGGCTTTTTTTACCCAATGTAGCTGATAATGTCACTGATAAATGCATGCACGCAGCTATAGCATGCATGCAGCCAGGAATGCAGGCCAGCAGTTTGGAGAGCAGTGTCCAGCTGGTAAATGTGGGGGAGGGAAGGGGCATGGGGTGGCATGAAGATTGAGGCCCCCATAGAGAGGGAGGTAATGGGGCTGGGGCAGGTGCTGCTCAGCCAGGACAGGGCAGGGCATGGAACAGAGCCATGGATGGCTTTTCCAGGGGGATGGGAGTTGGGGAGGCTCCCCATGGCTGCAAACCCCCTGGGAGAGGCATGGGGGGACATGTGCCCCCCTGATTACACAGGGCGAGGGTAGACTGACCGTTTTGGGCTCGGGGCCAGAGGCCAGGGGCTGTTCCTGATGGGGGCTAGGGCAGGGTGGATAGGGTAGGCAGCAGCAGTGCTGGAAGGGGGCTATGGGGTATTATGGGGTGGCTATAACCTGCCCATAGCCTCCCTCCCAGCACCACTGCTGCCCATCCAGCCCCTGCCCACCCTGAGTGCAGCCCTGGCTAAGCCTCCACCAGGAACAGACCACAGCAGCCCTGGCTCCGAGCCCACACTGGGCAGCCTGCCCTTCCCCATACACAAATCTGGGGGGGCACATGCCCCCCTGTGCCTCCCATGGGGTTGTACACAGCAACGGGGAGCCACCTTCCCTCCTCACCCCCCCACTGCACAGCCAGGACGAGCCACCCATGGCTCTGCCCCATGCTCCACCCCACCCCAGCTGAGCAGCACTTACCTCTGCCGCTGCCCCTGCCCCAACCCCATTCCCTTCCTCACCATGGGGGCCTCGATCTGCCCCCCCATGGCCCTTTCCTCCCCATGCTCCTCCCCTCCACAGACTTATCAGCCCAATGCTGCTCTCCAAATTGCCGGGCTGCATATTGACTATCAGATCAGTATCAGCCAATATGGCTGGTTAATAATCATCCATGGGTATTGGTCAAAAAATTCTTTATCGGTGCACCCCTACAAACTCCTATTGACTTCAAAAGACTCCTACATTACATTAGTTCTCTTTTTCTAGGCATTTTTGGAGGGATGGGGCAAGTTAGCTAGGAAAACACCGAGACCAACATTTCAAACGTTCATTAATCTGGATGCTCAGTTTCATATATCTAGATGCAGACTGTCTGGGTTGCTGCAGGTGCTCAGCAACTCTGAAAAGCCAGCATTAAGAGTCTTGATAGTAGATACTTTAGAACAGGGGTGGGCAACCTGCAGCTTGCATGCCGCAAATGGCATAGGAAGCTTGGGGGAGATAGGGTGGGAAGCAGAAAGCAGAACAGCAGATTAGGCAGGGAGCACAGGGTGTGCAACAGAAAGCAGAGGAGCAAATTGTCAGGGGAAGGGGATTGGAGAGGCAATCAGAGAGGATGTGGGGCATATGTGTGGCATGCCTGCCAAAAAGGTTGGTCCCCACTGCTTTAGAGTATTTTGATCCACATGAACCAGAGGTGAAAAAGTATGGCTGGAGTTGAATATAAGTCTCAACTGTACCTGGAAAAATAGAGGAAAAAAGTCTGAAAAATCAAGCCTTTGGTTCCACTATTAGACTGTAAAAGTAATTTAAAAAAAACAAACACAGTGAACATCAATTTAATTGGCCTTTTTGATCTTGTTAGTCTTAAGCAGTCTGTAATAAAACAATATGGTTTTTAACAGCTATCGAAAAGCACATCTAATGATTTCAAATTCAGGATGGATGTTACCAGTAGATACTCCATACAGATAAGGGCTAATCGTCAGTATAATGAAGGATTTTGGAGCGAGTGGACTGACCCCCTTTTTATTGGTAAGAATCAAAATGTCTTGGCTGTCAAATAATTTACTTCTATATGTTGTGAGCTGGAACAGTCTTGTTCACCATTTGAAGTTTGACAAGATCCTAGCCTCAGATGTTATAGCTGGGGGCTGAGCTTACCCTGAGGAACAAGTCATTTCCCATAAGCAGATTTTAAGTCTTTCATTTTACACATACTTACTAGACACAAATAATGTGCTTGAGTAAGCGCTAGTGCTGGTTCTAGTGTAATAATGTCCAAAATCAATGTGAGCAGTCAAGTAAAATATTTTTTATTGGCGTTACCTGAACTTCATTAGGGGAGAAATGTAGACGTTACTATCTTCATAAGACATTCATTTGTCTAGATCTGACTTGCTTGATACTGCACTTCCTGATTGCTGAATATGTTTTTTTATGGAAGTAACAGTTCGCTTATCATGACATGTTATCAACTGTTCTTTCTCAGTCATTCCCTCTCACTCTTATCTTTTGACTTTCTTAACTTCCTGATTTTCTTTTTTTTTTTAAGTTCTTTACTTTGCACTCTTCTGTTTACTGAACTCGTCCTGCTTCCTTAAACCTGCCTTCTGATGAAGTTCAATGTCTGTCAAATCTTCTTCCTTTCTGCATCCTCAGCTTTAATACATTCATACAATTCCTCTAGCCAGAACCTAGTGTGAAAATGTCGCCCAGCAGTATGGGCACAAACCTGCTAGGAAGTCATAATCCCTGCAGTTAGGGATTCCTGTGCTGACTGAGTTCAGCTTGCAAAATGAACGGGGCTTTCTGGGAAGGTTATTAAGTCCAAGCACCTGGGAAATACCTTGATCACCTGGACAGCCAGCAGAATTCACAACCAGAATGTAAAAATTGGATTAAAGGTATCCAGGTTGTAGCCATATTGGCCTACAGGAAAAAGCAATCAGGACTCATGGTAGAGGTGATATCTTTTATTAGACCAACTAGATTTTTGCAAAGATTTTTTTTTGTAAAAATCTAGTTGGTCTAATAAAAGATATCAGCTCTACCATGAGTCCTGATTGGATTAAAGGTTAGCTTTAGGCTCTGTTTTAATTTTCCTAAAAAAATAAAAAATCTTTTGAAGTAGAAGTTCATGTTCTGCACACAAAACGAGAATAGAATTTCAAGAAGTTAAAAGATGAGCCAAGTTGAGTCAGAGGATAGCAAAAATCAAATATATTTTTGACTTTTGGAACAAAGTTTTAACTTATCATCCATTTATATTCAATCTAGTTTTCTGAGTGCAGCTTGTTTCTTATCATTCAGCCAGGATAGAATTACCTTCCTTGGGAGATGGTTGCCAATAAAGCTAGATCATGTCTACTATGCATACATATGGTAAAAGTAGGAGCTACAAAAATGAATTTTAATAACATCATCCTTTAACAAACGGTGCAAAGAAATATAAAAATAAATGCCTTGTCCTAACTTTGACTGCATACTGATTAGTCACTAAATCCTAAACACTATACTGATAGCTGGGGTTGACCTGAAGGTACCTGTCAAGCCCATGCTTGCTACCCATATTTTAAACCCCTTCACACTCAATCCCGAGTGGCAGTCCAGCTCAGTTATGGAGGCTCTGCTGAACTCTGGATGAAGAGATTGACTCTTATGATGCCTCACTTTTCTTATAGTCCTCCTCTTTCTACTGTATTTTTGGACCTTATCTGCTCACTGAAGGCCTCAAACATGGGAAGTTTGTTAGCACCTCTCCCACAGCTCCCTGTCTTCCAGTCCCTCTGCATTTTACTTTCTCTCACTATTGCCTGTAAAGAGAAACAAGCCAGGAAGTGGGGACAAGTAGTCCTCAAACCAATTCTTGAAAAGGATCTGCAAGGGACCCTGGGACCCAAGGAACCACATCTTAGTGCTATTATTCTCAGGAAATAAGAAGCAAAATGGATATTTTTGCTGTGAACTGCAAGTAATAAGGTCAACGGAGAATAATAAGGTCATGGCTCAGGCTGGTTGAGGATGTTGACCCTAAATATCTGTACAGGCATATTTTGGTGACAAACTGATTTGTGAATTGCTGGCTGTGTACATTCACACTGTAAAACCACTAGGTCAGATCCTGTGCTGTCTCTCTAAGGAGATGTGTTTCAACCAAACCTCTAGGGATAGCTGTACATCACAGTGAGCATTTGCTGCTGCCTATCATTAGGGCTGGCCAAAATCTTCATTGTGCTATGCTGCTTTTTACCCATGGTTCCTGCAGAACCTGACCATGCACTTTCATGAGTTATACCACTAATTAGTTACAGACCTCAACTATTCATACAGATAATAAAAAACAAAAATAGTCTGCTATGCTAATTCATTAAAACACCCCCCAACCAAATTTCCACAAAAACCTTAATTCAGTTGAAGTGATGGTTCGCTTTCCTATTGCTTTTCCTATTTACAAAAAGAATTTCAAGAGACTATTACAACTTGATGACCTGCCAGGTTTTCCGGGATAAATTAAGGCACTGGGGATTCAGAAGACCTGAATCCTAATCCTGGTTTTGCTGCTAATCAGCTATGTGACTTTTAGCAAATCTCTTCCCCTCCTACAATTTGCCGGTCTTAGCTCTTTAATTTGTACGTTCTGTCTCTTGCAATGTGTTTGCGTGGTGCTTAGCCCAGTGGGGCCCTGCTTGTGATTGGATTACTCATGTCAGTCTAAAGGCCAAAGCATGTGTAATTGCTTTTTCACCAGTCCTCTATTATAGGCTGGCCAGGGGGGCTACCATGCCTGGCACCCTTTTGGCACCATTGCTAGTCAACATAAGGTAGAGCAGCCTGAGGACCACTCTATCTTGCACTGGAAACAAGGGATATGTACAGCAGCCTTAGAATGAAGAAGCTTATGCCACGCTTCCAATCCCATTACTTCCCAACCTCACGCCGAGTGTTACTTTGACTGATCCAAATGATACATTCATAGATCTCAGTTCCTTGGAAGGAAAACTGTAACCTGGGGACAAAACGGAGCAGTTAAAACAAAGAGCGCTTTTCAAAATCGGAAGCGTTCGTCTGAGTCTGTGACTTGCAATACCCACGCTTGTATTCCTTATCCACATAAGCAGGCTCAATAACTACCGCTGGACTACGCGCAGAAGTAAAGATTGCAGGGTCAGATCCTTAGTGCTTTATTCCCCAGGAAAGACTCTGTACTGAAAATGAGCGCTATTTGTCTATGTCCCTTTTAACCTGATTTGATATCCCAAACCTAAATTTATACCCTGTCATCTACTCAGTGACAGCTGTGCTGCCGTCTTGATATATACCACATGTCATTACCATAACGGTATAGTGACAGGGCAACCTTTTGAAAATTTAGCTTCTGAAGTTCAGTGTAAATTTCTGCTTCCCGTGGCATAGGCGCAGCATGTTTGTGGTGGCAAAGTGTGCCTGTTTAAAATGGAAACATTGCCATTGCTAACATACTTGTTTCTGCACACAAGCAGAAGAACAGAGCTATTCTTCCTGTGAGAAGATAAACAACCAACTTAAAATTAAAAATGGTGTTTTTCAATACACGATTTACTGGCAAGGCTGTTTAGCTAACCCCTGCTTAAAAAGGATGAATATGAATAACTGAAGAATGGTTTAACGGAAAACAAGGACTTTATGTGACCACGATTATAAGCAAACCGTGTCTTTCTTGCACACACAGGCATGTTTGTGTCATGTGGAGTTGCATAACTCGAGTATGTTAGCATAGCAGAGTGCATCGTGCTGATAACGCCTGCAGCCCTGATTCATGACACTTCTCAGCCTTCTTTCTTCTGCATGTAAAAATGATAAAAGGCCCCTAATTCAGTTATGGATAAAGTTATTAATGCTTAATGTGCTCCAAATTATCTCTACATATGAAATGTAAATAGTGGGCTAAATTATGATCTTAGTTATGTCAATGAAAATCTACTGAATAAAATCAGCTTGCTTTACAAGGTTTAGTTACTGGAACAATTTTACCTCCATGTTTCTTTCCACAATGAAAAACGTAATTTGAGCTAAATATATATATCTTTTTAATCCAGGGGAGGAGCAGAAGAAAAATCAAGTGGGTTGGGTTCTCATCTTGGTTACAGTAACCACGTGTTTCATCACACTGTTTATTGCAATGGCATGCAAAATGTAAGTATTTAACTACTAACTTCTTTAGTTAAAGAATAAGGAAGGGGTGTAGATTACATTTGTTTGAAACAATATTAAAAGCATTCAAAATGGTTCTTCCTTCTGTATTCAAATGTGATTTATATGAAGTAAGAATAGTGATAAAATGATAATTAGCCTCATTGATTATCAATGATAATATTAAGTGAAACTTCAGGAGTTATGGGCATGATCAATTTAATTAACATCAACGCCATTTGTTGGAAGAGGAACAGTGAGAGGGACTTACAGCAAGGATTGTTATTTACTGTACTCGATACTAAGATGGACAGTACTCAGTCATGCTGGTCATTTATCTTCACAGGAGAGTGCTTTATTTAACTCCAGCAAAATGTATTGAGAGAGAGAGAGAGAGCGAGCAACTTTTATTACTAAAACCATAGGCCAATATTCAAACCTGTGTGCCTCAAGTTAGGTATTTAAATCTATATTTGGGCACTGGCATATGTGACCTTATTATCACTGACTTGAGTAAATAAAGCTGCTGTGCACAACGAAAAATTCAGCATTGTCTGCACCCTTTTCTTTCCTGCTGCAAGTGCATTTAGCCATTCTCTGTTATAGGCTTGGCGAGTATTTGTAGCAGCTTCAAGTTTTTCCTGCCAGGGCTCACAGATATTCTTGTAAGCCAGCTTCACAACAAATTCTGTGAACAAAGCAAGTTGTGAACAAAGCAAGGCGGGTTGGACCTCAGTAGCAGTGTCCAGAAAGCCAGGATGTCAGTTCCAAAGTGATGAACCAACGAATCAATGATGCAATTGCTATCACCTCTCCCCAAAGGATATTTCAAGCAGTAATTATTAGATCAGCAATTAAAGCTGCTCCTAGTAATATAAGTGCTGTCCTCACATCTACTAATTTCACATTAGTTTTTTAAACAGTTCCTAAATTATTGACTCACTTGATGTACACCTCAGAGACTTCTTTGCCTCACCAAGTGTATTTTATCAAACTAGGGCCTTGTCTACACAAGGGTGTTACATTGGAGTAGCTGTCAGTAGTTTAGCTTAAAACACTTGAAATGGACACATACAGGCTTAAAATGAATTTCTCGAATATCTTAGCTTCGTAAGTAATTCTCCTTAGAACAGAATTAGCTCTGCTGCATAAGATGGTGTTCCCTTTATGATTCACTTGGACTCATTCCTGTTTCACTTCTGGCAGTCCTCCAACTGTTATCCTCAGTGCACATCTGGATTGACTCTTCCATGACTCTGAGGTCAACTTGACCAGATATCAGGTCTTTGTTTAAATACTATTGGACAGCCAGAATGGAGTGCTTCCTTTTGGTAGCAGGTAGTAGTGAGTTTCCATATCTATTATAGCAGCTTGACGCCACTGTGCTTGTATGCGGATTCCTTCAAATGGGCTTGTCTTCTCTGGAAAGCTGTATGAATTACCAGATGACAGAGACCTTCAAGACTTTCAAAGCAAATGGAAAAGGGTGTGCTTCCAGCTCAGTGCCCAAATAAATGAGCTCGTGGTAGAAGTACCTGAGAACAATGGACCAGAACATTACCTCCAGTAATACCCCGTCTACCTGGCCATGGTAGGAGAAATACTGCCACCAGGCAACCCAGGACTGATGTCATGACTCATTATCTACAAGGCACAGAAGAGAACGCAGCGGCATCCAGGACTAGCACCCCGCAAGCCAATGAAAGCAAGCTTGATCCCCTGCATACCATGAGGAATGATCAGGAGGAGCAGGAGGAGATTTATTAGATCTGGGAACAATAGTATGATCCAGCAGATTTGGACATTGCTCCAGAACCTGATGAGACTAGCTAGAGTGAAATTGCTGAGCAGTGGAATTGTACCAACCGCCAGCTTGAAAATGATGCAGAGGGGAGCTCTCCAAACAGCAATGCATTGTTATGCTGCCACACCAGTCACAGACAGGGGACTCAGCCCAGCAGCAATGGTCCACCAAGCAAAGTTCCTCAAGGTAAATGCTCTGCAGATGTGACTGCACTGTTTTATCTTCCTGTTCCTCCTCCTCCATTAGCTGTATCACTGCAACATCAAAAGCCCTGTGAAACTGCAAAGCTAACTCCATTTGCCTGCATGACTATAGAGCACATACTGTTTGAATTAATGACTGTTGTGATCACAGCACTCAATACTGTGTCCTCCACACTGTGAGGCAGTGCTTCGAAAGTGGCATAAGCAAAATTAATGGATGCCAGAAGAGGAATTATGGGATTTGCTAGTTTAATTCCCAGTCCCAGAATCCCTGTGGTTTTTGGCAAGTATCCCACAATGTACCCTGCTTAAAGTCACAGAGTAGAGAGCTGAGAAATGGAAAATTACACCGTAGGGTAGCTATCTGGAATGCCAAGGAGTTACTTCAGAGAAATGCAGGCTGTGTGGATGCAATGTTTAACAAGGAAAGGCCTTTTAACCAGTATAAGTGAATTTCCATGTGATATAATTACATTGCTATTCTTAGAGCAGACAAACGAGGTCAATCTAACATCATCATGTCAATGTAGCCTGACCAAATAAATGTTAGCCTTTGCCTTTTCCCATGACAAAATGACTTTACTGCAGAGCTCTCTTGGAGTCATACCTGGGTGTTGTCTAGGTTTGAATACTTGAGTGAGTGTTAGGCTAGCTGGCCTGGCAGCAGCCATAGTCTTGAATTGAGGCTCTTAATTCAGGTTGGTATCTTGCCTACTTGCAGTGAGGATGCAGGCTGAATCTCTCAAATGCTGATACAGTCCTCCAATATTTTTCTGAAATCCCCTTCCCCCAGAAGGGCAAACCAACAGGAGGGAATCAGTTTGCAGCTCAGCTTGCCATGGCACCTAGAACCAGGGGCTATACCCCCAGAAATCTTAGGGATACACTTGACTTGGTAGAGTACCAGTGAAGATGCAGTAACTTGGATATGGCCTTGCAGTGTGGCTGTTCACTCCTAAACTAGGCTAACCAGGGTGCTCAGCCTCTGGTGCTGAGCACCTCAGATAACCCTGCAGTGAGAACATACCCTTTGCAGTACACCAGCCAAGAACCAAAAGACATCAAAGATGTCAGCATGTGCTGTATAACTAAGAGCCATGTCCTACTCCTTGGTGAGTCTCAGCCTATCTTACCCTGTGGGTCTCAACCTTGGCGGGTCTCAATCCATTGTACCTTGGCAGGTCTCAACCCATCTTACCCTGTGGGTCTCAACCCATCTTACCCTGAACCCATCTTACCCTGTGGGTCTCAACCTTGGCGGGTCTCAACCCATCTTACACTTTGATTTGAGACAGTCTTCTACTGGAATGACAGCAGATTCCAAATTGCTGTATGAAACCTCCTGCAGGGTAACAGTTGGAATATTTCCAGCTTTTCCTCCTTTGAAAAACCTAGTCCCCATAAGAAACTCATCCTTAGGCTCCATCTTCCCTCCTTGCCCCCATTCTCACCGATTCCTTGGCTACAAGACTTCCAGCATATACCGAATCCCTGCAAAACAGTGAAAAGACTTTGGTGTGTTTGCTTTGCCAAGTCTTCCTGTTTCCTACCACCTCACTAAATAACCAGCTAAGCATAGATGTGTATTTTAACATGAACGTGGTTCTAGCCAAGGATGCTTAAGTGCTAGTCCTGGGAGACTCGGAAGGAACTGTCTGAGGGGTACAAAATGTTTAAGTTTCAGAATGAGAGATATGAAAGGGAACAAGTCAGTAGCAGGAATTTGCTTTGGACTCCCTGATGAGAAGCTATAATGGGATAAAAAGAGCTTAGCAGGAATCAAAAAGGCTTTTGAAAGGGGCAGCTAGTAATGTAAGAGTTCGGCTAACCAGGCATGAATCCGGACAGCTGTCATAAAATAAAACGATCAGTAGCTTAGCAGGCACAGTACAGGACTGCCTCTTCCCTGCAAAGTCTGTAACAGAAGGAAACAGAAAGAGGCAGTTCTGACCTTGATCCTGACCAAACACAGATGAAACCAATGCAGATGTAATGCTAGGGAGCATCTCCTCAGCAGAGCAGGCCTGAGCAGTGTTTTGCTAGTTTTATCCCAGTGTGACTTCACTGAAGTTTTACCAGTGAAGTGCGTATTTGCTCTGAAATAGCTCCTGCAATCCTTGATTTGGGCTGAAGACAGAAGGATCTGGCTGACACTTTTATTCAGAGCTGAACTGAAATCAGAAGGAGTAAATATGGAGCAGCTGTTATAAGAGTAAATTAATACATTTTAATTACTGAAATGCTAGTTGAGTTGTCTAGATGACAGCCGCAGGGAACATAGGCAACGGGTTCAGAGAAATGAATCCAAAAGTTTTTTGAATGCTTTTGAACAGACACTTGAAATACATTGAGTACTGTGTAGATCTGCAATGCTTACTATCATAAGATGTACGTATAACAGCTTGGGGCTAGATTGTAACACTACTACATGGAATATTTTACTACCTGCTGGCCTCATCTACGCATGTGCTTAACTGCAAAGTAGACTAATTAGCTGCAGAGTAAAGCATCATGATCTACATTTGCAACACCATTAGGCTACAGTAAACTAATTAATACCACCATAAGATAGTACAGTTGGGAACAGTACTACCTTAAGGCGGGGTAATTAACTGCAATTAAACACATGTATAGATCCTGATTGCGGGTGTACATTGCACCCAGTCAGCCCAGCTGGCAGGGGACCAGACTCCTGCCTGTCACCTAGCCACATGGCTCCCTACTTTCAGCATGCTTGGACTCCAGCCAGACCCTCTGCCACTGCTGCTGCTGCCACCTGGAGCCCAGAGCTGACCCCCCATATCCCTGGCCCTGGTGTAAACTGTTCCACCCTGGCTCAAATTGCTGCTGTCCTGGGTGCATGTGTAGATGCTGTGCCTGGGAGTAGCTTATTCCGGCTCAGACTGCTTGGAGTTTATTACTCCTAATTAACTGCATGTATAGATGCACCCACTATGTATCAGAGTAGGAAGGAGTGTGGGAAGTCAGAGACAGACCGCCTCCCACTCCTTGTCCCTTCTCATTACTCACGTATTAGCAGAGGAGTACCCTGCCATTCCCTGGTAGGAATCCCAACCTGAGCAGGAACAAGGAGTTGAATGGCCAGGTAACGTGTGTGACACGTATGGTAATCAAGCCAGTGTTAATCACTGTAGACCAGAAAAACTAACACCCAAACAAAAACTAACCCTTCTCCCAAAACTATAGGCATCTTTCATATGCCTGTTTCATATACTATTTTCACAGGTGCCACTTATGGAGTAGGTTATTTCCACCAATTCCAACACCTAAAAACAACTTAAAAGATTTGTTTTCAGCAAAGGACTATGAGGTAAACATATTTTAAGAATATAATTTGCACTGAGGAAAAAAATCAACTCTCTGTGGCTGCTGCCTCCTTTCTACAACTCTATAAACTGAGCCTATAATTGTCTTTTGTACTGTCTTTATGGGGAGCTGCTAATACCACTCTCATTAAAATCTGCCTTTCCTCTATTTATATTTCCCATTTAAATATCACTTGTCACATTTTAAAACTATACGTTCAAAAATTCATGCACATTGTGTGTGTGTATAATTTGTGTGCATTATATATAATGAACTATATATATAAAATGAACAAAGTTCCATTAACTTCTGTGCAAGTGGAACTAGTTTACCTCAACTAAACCAGATTACACTAGCTATAGATCTTGCCTTGTTTGTAGACCCTTGATCTTTGAGAAGCTCTAAGAGGTAGCTTCGTCTAAATCACAGCATTACATTTTTGTGTCTTAAATACACTAAATATAACCCACAATGTTAAAAGTGTAAATCAAGTGCCTGGTAGACTTTGCTTCAAGAAAAATCCTCCAAGTCCAGATACAGCAGTGTCCATTTACTGTATCGCAAAGAGTTAGCTTATACTGATAAATGTGATGGGAAAGGAGCAGTCTTCTAAATAGATAATGGATGCTGTAGTCCAGATGGGAGATCTGTTTATCAAAATGCAAGCAGTGTGTTGCAGAGTAACTGGGAATAATGTGAGGAAACTAGAAAAGGAAAAATTAGGCAAATTTATCAGCAAAAGTGTGTTGAAGGTGATTAGTGAAAGAAGAAAGTACTTATAATTCTACTGTTTGTGAGATTTTGAAACAGGAATGGACAGATGTATTGCAGGAAAATGAGTGAAGGATGGGTTTGAGTGCCAGTCACTGTAAAACAGAGAAAATAGCGTTTCCTTATGCTATGGGGGTCTTGTGACACAAAATATATACTCAGACACATTGGTGATGCCATAGATAGATAGTCCTGCTTTGGCAGGGACAGACAGGGCCATCTGGGATTCCTAGAACTGATTTACTTAGTAAAACTTAATAATGAGAAATCCTTTGGTCTTACTGTTAAGCTGGCTTTCAGACTCATGATGTTTGCTGTTACTTTCTGAAAAATATATTTGCCTTACAGATAAGATATAACTTCTCCCTGGCCCCACATCGAGAATGCTATACAGTAAGTCAGTTCTAATTTTTCCCCTCTGAAAAGTTATTTTTTAAAATTATTATTTCATAGTCTGGTCAAAGAAACAGGCTTAAGGGATTATGGACTAACGTTTCAGTTTGTTTTTAATTAAAGTCATCTGTGGAAAATAACATGACTCTGGTTATCACACACTGATTTTGGAATAAGAGAAATAGCAAATATTAACACTGCAGCTAAGCAATCCTTAGAAAACAGTGGACTGACTTAGACAAAGCGGGGGTTATATCATTCAGAGCAGCACTGGATCTTGCTTAGTGATCTTTTTATTTAAAGTGAATTGAATGCAGATGAAAGCTCTCAGACTGACAGCTCTGGGGGCAGGAGGCTTTTGTTTAGCACTGGAAAGTAACAGTGAAAGCTTTCCTCCCTGTCCTACTCCTGCAGCCTTTTCTATGCGACCGATTCTGTGCCCTTTCAGTCTCTGTGTCTGTCATCTCTGCATCATGATGGAGGTCAAACTGCTTCATTTTTGGTTAATCTATCATCACCAAGCCAAATTCTACCCACATTTACACTGTGCAACCACAGTTCAGAGGTCAAATTAATAGCTGAATCTGTTTTAAAAAGTCTTTTTCTGATGCATTTCAATCTAGATCACTCAAACTGTCTCATACTATTGCTTAGGTTAATGAATCACATGTCCATCCTCTGAGCACGACTGACTCTGCAGTACTAACAGAACAGAACAAAACATAGTGAAATATTCATTTTGCCACGAACATATTTAGGTATAACTGTAAATTCCCATGGTGTATCTGTGAAGTAAAATAGGGGCATTTTTAGCAGTCGCTGCTTAGAAGAAAACCACAATTTTAGTGTTTTACTTCTGCCAGTTAAGGGTATATTATGAAAAGCTGGATTTGTGGCATTTCTCAACTGGTCTCAAACTACCAGTGATCAAATTCACATCTGTCAGCCAAAATAAGGCCCTAACTGGCAATCAGGTTAATAGGAAAATAAACTTTTCCACTTATTCCTCACTGAGAAATGCTTCTTATCCTGAAAAAAAAATGCATGTTACTTGGATGAGTTTGTGCGTAAAGTTCTTTCTGAATGTACCAGTTTCAGAAGCTACATTTCATACAACAAGCAAAAATTGACGTTTGGAAATGCTATGCATAAAGTATTGCATTTGCTAATGAGCATGGAACAATAGTGAGAAGGTCGGTCAGAGGTTTGGTAGCTAAACACAGTATTTCTATTCCAGAGAGCACGGACCTATACAAGTGAAACAGAAACAGAGGTTGGAAGTTATATCGACGACCTTGGAAGTTACAACGAAGACCTTTATTGTGAGGTTCTCGAAGACTCTGTCATCTGAAGTATTCAGCCACTAAGAAACCTGAGACAGGGGTGTTACTGCAAGTGCCAATGATGTGCGCTGGATGAAATTAAAGGCCACACAATAAACGAGGCTTCAGACTTAGGAACCATGAGTTGCTTCCCAAACAGCTGGCGCATAATTACAAACTAATGCATACACATCCGTGGATCGGGGGGAATTCAAGTCCAGACTTCGCATTTGGATACAAAGACTCATGAGTATCTGGAGGTAACCGGGAGAGCTGAAATTGGCCAAGTGAATCTACTTTGAATGTGCAGACTAATTTTTGTGAGGGAGCATAAGACTGATAGAAACCCACATTTGTAAGTGGAATAGGGCAGGGCCTTTAAGACTCAAAAATACAGTGAAATGATTTTTCTAGAAAGAATAGCTCAATTTGCTTTTTTTTGCTTTCCTTCCAGTCCCTTTTACATTAACTTTTTCCACCCCCCCACATAAAACACCTGCAAAATACAAAAAGGAACTGAAATGATAACACTGCATCTTCTTACCCATAATATCTTGTCCTTCCTTCCATTACCCCCCTTTCATTTTTGCATAGCTACATATGACTAAACCACGTGAAAAGTACTTTTCTGGCGCCTTTAATTTATAACAGCAAGAGTTTGTGTATGCTGCAGCTGCATGTTAAAAGGTTGGATTCCTACGGTAGATTGCCCAATTTGCATATGCAGTTTACACAACTGTCCATGCAAATTTGGTTTTTTTGCTCACAAAAATATAATAGGACTTAAAAACCTGGAATGATCCTGAGGCTGCTGCAAAGCGGAAGGCAAGGTTCTTACTCAGAGGTTTCCCATAAAGATTTACATAACATTGAAGAAAATGGCTACATTCACACTATGCCAGTCTGGCCTGGCAGCCTGGCACAGACAGCTATCCTGGGCTGCATGACGTCCAGATAAATAGATCTCCGCAGGTGCCCATTCATTTCTTTTCAGCACGGTGGAGTCTTTGCATTGCAGAGATGGGGAAATCCTTTTGGTTCTCCAGGCTCTCCTGGGAGTTGATTGCAGGTTCGTTTCTTCCCTCCTGTGGGATTCTTCATAGTCTCAACAAGCAAAATGCCTCTAGGCTTGCAGGCTGCAGCGTATACAAACTCTTGCTGTTATAATTAATGGCTCCAGAAAAGTACTTTGCACATGGTTTAGTTATATGCAGCTATGCAAAAAGACTTCATAGTCTTGACAAGCAAAATGCCTCTGGGGTTTCAGGGACCCACTGGCAGCCTCTAAGCAGTTGGCTGGCTGACTGCTTTGGGTTAACTGTGAGGAAAGGGGGTGAAGTCAAATGAACTCTGAATCTTGGCATCCTGGCAGAGACTGCAGGGCTGTTGTGTGCAGTTCTGGAGCTCAGGGTGAGGGTGAATGCCTAGCTCTGCCGAAGTCAACAGTTTTTTCATTGACTGAAAATGAGGACACAATTTAACGCCACTTCTCTTTCATTCCCTTTTCCACTGAGCTGGTTTGGGGATCATTTTTCTCATTCAGGAAAAGAACCGGGTTTAGACCAGTAGGATTTTAGGATTCTCTCTGTGCACATTGGCACTTTTCCTGGCTCCATAATTGTGAAGGCAGAGGTCACCCAAAGCAGACATAAGGAAAACAAAGATGATCGGTCACCACATTTTCAACCCAAGCCCCGTTTTTCATTTGCTTATTTGCATTAGGTTAGCAGATTGCACCTGTATCCTCTGGGAACACACCCACCTGTACCGGAATAGGACCAGCTTCTCTCTCTCTGTGCACAAGGAAAAGTGCCACTGTGAACTCACTCCACTGCACTTGACTGGAAAAAAAAAGGCACTTAGAAACCTTGCCCCTAAGTGTAAGTGGGTAAATGAAAAACCTCCCCGAAACGTCACTGTTCTTGACTGGGATTTCTGGGCTTGCCCACAGGAGTGCAGCCAACTCCCACTTACATGTCAACTCCCTTCAGATGCTTTGACATCCCAGTCCTAGAAAGTATATACCGTATTCCCAGCTGTCAGTTGCCCAGGGGAGCGCACTTTGAACGAATGTTTGTTCTTTCACTTTACGTTCTTGTTGCTTCCCTTGTTATCTGTTACCTACCTTGTGAAATCCACATTGTAAAACAAACCCAGACCTCGAAAACCACATAAGCAACTTTGTCTTGGAACTTGTTTTGCTTTTGGTGACCAGGTTTTGCAACTTGTCTGCAGAGTTCTTCCTCGTGCGGTTCAGGGCCAGTGCTCTGGCTACCCCGTGCGGGTGGTAAACAGCTTTATTTGGCCCAACAAGTAACTTGTAAATTGTTTTCTGTTTGAGCAGTGCTTAGAAATGATGAGGTCCTGGCCTGTCTTAGGGATGCTAAGGTATTATGAAAAATAAAAAAATTAAAATAATAGATGAGCCAGTCCCTCAGCTGTATACAGTGTACACAGCTGTGTACTTCCCTCTCCAGTAAAGTTAATAGAAGCCATTCATGTATTTAGTGCCCTAAATGCCTTTTCTGTAGGTTATTTTAATGGATTTGAGAAGCATAGCTATGGCAGACTGAAATCAGTGCATTTCCTCACAGAGCTTCACACATAGAAGAGGCGAACATATTTCCTATGCATGCATTCCATGCCTTTAAGTATCTTTATATACGAGAATATTAAATCTAGCTGTCTTTCATTTATTCAGCTCTCTGTACTAGAAGGCTACCGCAGGGATTATGCAATGTATTTAAGTCCTTTTTGCATTACAGTACTGTAAGTTCAGTGATTAGGAACTGCACTTACCAGTCAAACTAGCGCTACCACCAGAAAATGTGATCAAACACGAAAGAAAGGCATATTAAGCTCTTGTGTTTGAACAAATATTTGTCTTTCTGATTAATGTCTCAAATAAAAATTAAAGACAATCTTTGGAGTTTTAGTATTATTGACAAGTGGTGTGCATCGCTAGGAAATTACACAAACACTTGCATATATTTCATGAAAAGGAGAGAATAGCTAAAGATTTTCACAAGACCAGGACAAATGCTCTAGGTTCTTAGCACCTGTAAAAGTGACAGCATTATTCAAGAAGGGTCGTACTGTCATCCCATTACTCAAATTTCTTCACTGACTCTATGTGGCATATAGCATGGCCAGCAACCCTTTACAAGCTGTGGGTTGGAGCAACCTGATCCTGGTCCGATCTGGCCCAGGTGGCTTCAGTGGCACGTGAACAGTGGGATACTTTTCTCATCCCATGCTGGGGCTAAGCAGCTGCACCCATGCCTCCACCTCTTTCTACAAGCCCCCAGCTGTGGCATGGGCACAACTTCCAGCTGGTGGATACCAGGTGTCTGCAAACTGTGTCTGCATTACTACCTCTTCTCTCTGCACGCCCTCTCCCCAACCAGGGCAGGGGGTTGGACTCGATGATCTGTTGAGGTCCCTTCAAACCCTAGCATCTACGATTCTGAACCAGCTGCAGCACTGAGTTCTGCTGGGGGCACCATTACATGAAGGTGAGAGGCTTTGTGAATACTTCTACCTGCTTAGTAGAGAAGAGCCTTTAAGCAAAGCATTATAAAGCTGGAGTTCTTAAGAAGAGCTCTGCTGTATGGTAAAGCAACTGGCATAAAACTGGGAAGCTCTACATGGAAAGCTCAGACCTTTATCTGGAGAGCGAGCCTTTTGATGTGCCTGGAGAGTTAATTTGGTCTATTCTGTAGTGACCAAACAAGCAGCTTCTTTTTAAGCTCCAAGCAACCCCAAACTCTGATTTGTCTTTTTTTCTCCCCCATCCTATTTTGAGAGGCATGCTTGCTGGTAAATGCAACAGGAGTCCACAACATGTACAACAACTGGAGCAGAACACAAATCCAGCTCCAGAAATCACGCTAGCAAAGAGAGCACTGAGTCTGCAAAACCAAATAGGCAACTCATGGCTCGAATACTGCCTCTGACTTACCATTGTCCTAAAACCAGCACAACGGTATTTCAGATGCCAAATGATGGATGGCATCCACAGAACTGAATCAGAGAGAACCCTTCACCACACAAAAGCACCAACTAAATGATAGTACAGAAACAACGGTGATAAATACAGTACTGATGCCCAGGGCACTATGTAAATTGGAAGACGCACAATAGCATCTACCAGGTGACAGTCCATTGGGACCATACATAGTGAGAACCGGATGAGCATACTGTCAAAGGAATCTAGTAAAGGTGACATATCCTGATGTAGCGTATAAATCTTCGCAAAAGGACCAGAAGAAAGGTAATCTCAACTGCTAGAATGTGTTTGCCCTACCTCCAAACTTGTAGCAGAAATTCGGACACCTGTGCTTGGACTGCAATTCCTTCCTACTGGAGCAACCTGTCGCTCAAGTTTTGTAGCTTGCATCTTCCCCTTGAGCTTTCATAGGGTTTAAGAGGCTTTTTGAGTGGCTTCATCTTTCCCCCCACCCCTCTTTTTCCTTCCATATCCAAATGTGATTCTCACTGGTATTCTTAATCAGCATAGACTCTACTATATACCACAGCAGTCAACATGCGCTTTGAAGGGCCACTTATCTACGCAAGGGCACTCAATCATCGAAAATTCATCCAGTCCTCAGATACCTTTTTGTCACTGTAGGAAGCAGAATTTGTCTAGAGACTTCATGTAAATTGATTTCTCTGCCTCCGCATAGTGCCTGTGGGACTCCAACGGCCCTTCTCACTTTGCATTTTCCAGTCAGGGACAATCCAAGAAGGTAAGCGCTATTGTTGAAGTTTGTCACAAGCTATAATCAGGGACATAGGACAAATGCTTCTGAAAGACAAGTATCTTTACAAATGACAGAATATTTATTACCAATACCTTTAAAAAAAGATTACATCTGCTAGATCACTGATAAATATCATTTACACCGGGGAGAAAACTACATAGGCTTTTTTTTTTTTGTTTCATTTTCTGGTTTTTGTGTTTTTTTTGTTTTTGTTTTTTTTACATAGAAGTAACCATATCAAACTAAGAAAGGAACACAGCTTG